TTAGAACCTGAAGATGCAAGTCGCGCTCTTTCTTTCAAACCCGTTTACCTCAGCGCACAATCCTTCTCTTTGTATGACGGAAGTGGAAGTGGTATTTGAAATTGCTGGGGGCGTGAGCGTGCATGCACGCATCTCTTGTTTTTTGGCATCACGGGGCCCCTTTCTTTGTTCGGCGCACGCCGGAGGTAATCTTCGTTCGAGCGTGGTGCTTGCAGGGCGAGGATAGTTCCTAACATTCATCCGTCATAATTGAGGTCGGAGAGCAAACAACTGGAGCGGAGATGCACTGCGCTATATTATTTTTATCTATTTACTCAATTTTATTTTTGGCATGTCAGATTATACAATATGTACAATAAACTGTGCGAGTTTTTTTGTTTTTTTTTGGCGACGATGGTTGTATAGTGATTAAAAATCTTGGGTTCAGAAATTACCTTTTACAGAAAACGCCTTCTGGAATTAGAGTAGCATTAATACTCTGTGTGCTAACGTCTTTCATTAAATGACTAGACACAATATTGTTCGGTCCAATTAAAGTTCAGCCTACTGTTCGTAACAAGAGAGAAGATTCAACCGATGTTGCTACTGCTTAATGTGAAGCTTAGAAAAACTTAGCATAACGATGCACGAAAAAGATTAATATTTCAGCCGTTTTTGTGTTCGCGTACCTTCTGTAACGCAGAATAGCAAGATTTTTTTTTTCATAATGGTGACAATATGTTGCAGGGACGACGTAAAAAGGCATATTTTTTTCTCGCTTTCACCTAGCGCGTAATGGCAAAAATTATCGTGAATCAGCCCAAAGGTAGGAATCCAATTCAAAGTTTATGTCGTCAGTGTGCAAAGCTATTGTCATGTATATATCTATATATATATATATATATATATATATATATATATATATATATATATATATATATATATATACAATCAACAATAATCTAATCGTGTCTATGAATAACCTGAAAGTCTTAAAATTATTCGAAGGCCCCTGCTCCATCCGAGACTAAGCTGAAGTTTCTTGTTTCTTGGAGCTGTGAATTTAATTTTATTATACATCGTATTATGTCTTTTTGAAAGTGAAAACAGCAGTTTTACGACACAATTTTATGGAGCGCAAACCACGAGCACCTCCCTTGACATCCTCTAAGTCTAAGATCTAGACACAACGTTTCTGTCAAGTGCTCAGTATGGCAGTAATACAAACATGTATTACCGACATCAGTATTCCGGTAATACAGTGTTAATGACGGAAATAATTAACTCCTGGAGGCTAATTTATTTCGGCTTAACATCCGCTCGTGTATCTACAGCTGTCTTGCGGCGTCGCACAGTCAAGACTGGAGAGAACGGTGGTCGGGCATGCATCCTAACGCCACGTCCTTCCGCGCGTAACATTATACAGACCATTCCTACAATCACCTGCGCACCGCCATCATTGTCCACTGGGCTGTGAAACGTGGTCTCAGCATGCGAAGTAGCCTTGATTTGTAGTATATAACAGGCGCCACGGATCGGCCCACAGCCCGGTGACTAGGCATTTTTCGCCTGGATGCTAAGCCCTGGAGAAGTTGATATAGCACAAACGAAACACATGAAACCAAACTCTTAGTTTACCCGCGCTCACGTTAAAGTATAGTTAGTGATGTATCGAGCACGAAAAAATGAGATCTAGCGTCGGAGCGAATGCACGTAATGATTATGTGCGTGTTACTGAGGAAACATTCGAGGAAATTCACTTTAGATTTGATCCCGACTTCCCGTTTCCTGTTCGCAACTATGCGAAGAATATAACGTTTGGGAACCAGCATAACTGTACCGTAAACGCGTAAGCCGTGCCTATTCCCAGCCTACATGACTATCCTTCCTGCTCCAAATTGAGAGGTCAACAGGCAGCTGGAACTCGCAGTACCAAATAACCGAAACCGTACCGAGAAATCCTCCGCTTTTTTTCTTTTTTTGAGCTGCCGTTTCTAATTATAGCACGGCAAATGTGGCATTCTATTCTGGAGAGAAAAGTCGCCCTCACGGTCGATCTCACACCGACCAGAGGCTGTATGGGAGGCCGTCCGTGCTTCCCGCATTTCCGTACAAGTCAGGGGCGTGAAGGTCTACAGCCATTACCCTCAGTTTACTAAACGGGATGGCAGCGACCTGGAAGGATATCCCAACTTAGCGGTCAAGCACCTCGTCATTTATACACCCAGGAAGGTCGGTTTCCTAGGTATGCAAGGTCACGATTCTGTGAGCCTTCGGAGAGCCCTCTTTCGCCATCTACGACGTTGATCGTGACTACTCGCTAAGGTTCAGTGGCCTTGCACATTCAGATACTTTGAACCGGCGTACTTTATTCAAAACTTAGTACTATTCTTCGTTACACGTTCAAAAAAAATCGCAGCGGACGCTACGAGCACTTCCAGGCAATCCAGCGTCTTAAACGTATGTCACGTGCCTAGGCGCCTGGAATGTCGCTGCGCCCTTTCTAAAGGTCACGTGACATTCACACAGCATGGTATTGGCTTCGAGGGCTCCTGGCGTCCTCTGTGGTCGATCCTACCAGCTCAAACGGAGTAGTATGCCCACACTTCCTCTAGCCGGTGCTCCGCCATAAACACTACGCCACATCGCTTAATGCCCGGCATCTCCAGGACTTGCACTTAACTGCGATGCTTCCATGATTAAAGAAGCTGCTTTATATATTGAGAACTACCGGCACGGAGATGTTCACTAGGTCGGTCGACTCTCGACTGGGAATGAACCGCCGCGCTTTGTCTTCTTGCGGGCCGTCGTGCGGCGAGAGTCGGCTCGAAACGCCCCGAGTTCCACTTTCTCTCTGATCCAGTCGAGGAACCTGTTCTAAGGAGAGAGGCGGCAGTGACCCGAAAACCGCCTTCCCTCTCGTTCGTCAGGCCACACTTCCGCCATAACCGAGTTCCGTCCAGGTCTACGCGTGCGACGCCACCGCCGCGTCCGTCACTAACTGACAGTGCTCTATTCTCTTGATGGTTTTGCACACGTGCCTGAGGGCTGCTAGCTCTGTCATCTAGTCAGATAGGGCGAGGCGAGCTTCCGAGATGGCGGCCATCGGGTTATGGTAAGTTTCTCTTGTTTTCGGTTTGGCAAGTTTAAGAAAGATGGTTTGATAGACGCATGTTTGTGCTTGGCATGTTCGGAGCGCAACGCTTATCTCCTCGTACGAAGTAACCGAAACAGATTATTGTTCGCGATTAAAACAATGGCAAGACGGAGGAAACTGGGTTTGTAAGTACGGGAGAAAAACACTGACGCTCAGCACGAATATGTAGAGGCAATTCAATCCAACCGATCGAATTGTTTTTCATTGATTGTTCTTCTTGCGCTTTGGCGTCCTATCGCTCACATTTTTTTTTTATCTTGCTGTTAAATTGAGGAATCCAGCAGTTAAATAACCAGCACGTTTAGAATAAATAATATTTGCGGTATGAGTGTTTATACAGCAGAAGATTATGGTCCTTCAAATGACGTTCGGTTTCTCCACTGAAGCGGGACCATATGGCCAGCGCAGCGTGACCCCTGGCCGCAGGTCAGCGTGTATCGCTCAGGAGCGATAGACACTAAATCACGCCGCTGCAACTTCAGTTCGTATTTAAACTTCCAGTGGCTGTAATTAAGTTAATAATATTAGTATATGCAGGCAATGCTTTCCCCCGTGTCACACTCGTCTGGAGTGCCTTGACACACTTGGGCAAAAAAGCCACCATTTTTTTATCAGTGATGAACAAGTGCCGTTTCCGGGTACGAAAGTCAATAGTGCAGTCATAAAATCTGGATTATTCATTGTTTCACTTGGGCCGATGAAGGCTTTTGCGTGCTGAGCTGACAGTGCAAGCGAAGTTTCCAGAGCAGTGTCTGTTTTCTGAAGCTGTAGACGCCTCGTCTACAGCTTCAGAAAGCAGACACTGCTCTAGACACTATATATATATATTTTTTTTTTTTGAAGCTGCGTCCTGCTTATGGTGCTAGCACGCAGGATCAGAGCCTTCCAAGGTTTTCACTGTATTCGAGATGACGGTAAAATATACTTCACTCCCAATGTTTGCCGCTGTACGTGTGACGGTCGAATCTTGTGGTCAGCAATCTCTTATCAAGTTTTTACGTTTGTGAGTCTATAAGATATCAACACATGCCACCAACATATTAAACTTTATTTTCAATTTTTCATCAATAATATAATTTTAGTTTTCTACAATCATTGTAGATAATTAATTCATTTAGAAAACATAGGTGCGGACATGCATTTCGCTTTCCATGTATAACAGACCTTCAGACCTTGTTTGTTCAGCCCAGCAAGAGAACAGTTACCAACTGATGAGTTTAGAACGATTCGAAATTGTAGCAAAATATTGTTAGTCGATGAATTAAAAAAAAAACACGCTTAGCCGCTGAATTGCGCTAGTGAGTAAAAGTTAAAGTTTCTGAATAACGAAGTGACAAAAAAAAATACCTGAATACCGTTTTGCTCTATTTCGTGGAGTAGCCGAGCGAAAATTAGCATATGCCCTCCATTTGGAAATTGACTGAGATGCACGACCCTATCAATGGCGGAGTGTCAGGTGCTCTTTAGGTTGTCCTCATTCGTGTATAGTCATTCACATTTTAATGTACACAAGCCTGCACCTCATGCTACATGCTACCGGTCTCTCAATTCAGGTTGTGATTCGTCCTGAAAAATTCTAACCCGTAGCATTATCCAACACTGTCTGGACATGTCGGGATTCTTGCGGACAAGAGTAGAATTGTTCGTTTATGTGTTCAAGCAAAAGCTTCGCCTTCACCTCTATCGAGGGAAAGAGGGACATCGTTCTACTTCAGCTGATGTAGAAAAAGCTAACCAAGTACTTTAGAAAAAACAGTACTCCCTTTCAAGAGAACGGGATAGTGATTACATACTAAAACAGCACGGAGGTGTTCCTTTGACCCAGTCTTGGTACAGTTGCTAAGCTCACGACTTCTTCCTGCAGCTTTCTTTCGCCTTCCTGGCCGCCCTTGTGGGTGTATCCCTTGCCGGCCACCTTAGCGGCGGCGGCGGTGGCAGCGGCGCACACCACGGGCACAGCAGCTATGGGTCCGGACTCGCCTCTGGGGGACTTGGCGGCTACGGAGCTTCTAGCTATGGTGCTGGTGCTGGCGGCTACGGCGGTAGCGGCCTCGGCGGCCATCACTCTGGCAGCTACGGCGGCGGTCTCGGAGGCTCCTCTGCTGCTGCGGGAGGGCCTGCGCATTCGTCTTACTCGGCCGGGGCCGGAACGGGAGGCTACGGAGACGGTGGAGCCGGTAGCTATGCTGGAGGCGCCGGTCCCTCCGGAAGCTACAGTATAGGAACTGGAGGCTACGGCGGTAGCACTGGCGGCTACGGCGGTGGCACTGGCGGCTACGGTGGTGGCTCTGGTGGCTATGGAGGTAGCACTGGCGGATACGGTGGTAGTACTGGTGGCTACGGAGCCGGCGCCGGGAGCTACGGTCCCGCCAGTGGTGCTGGCTCTTACGGAGGAGGAACCGGCAGCTACAGTGGAGGCCTCGGCGGATACACAGGTGGAGCTGTGGGCGGCTACACGGGAGCATCTGGCGGCCACGGAGGAACCTCCGGTGGGTATGGGGGAGGCGCGGGAGGTCACTCAGGCAGCACTGGCAGCTACGGCGGCGGAACCGGCGGCTACGGAGGTGGTTCTGGCGGCTATGGCGGCAGTACTGGTAGCTACAGCGGTGGCGCTGGAGGCTACAGTAGTGGGGCTGGTGGCTACGGAGGCAGCGGCGGCAGCGGCGGACTGTCGGGAGGCGGCTACTCCAAGTTCAAGGCTAGCAAGCTCTCTGCTGGCGGAGCTGGCGGCTACGGCGGTGGTGGTCTTGGGGGCGGAAGCCTCGGAGGTGCTGGACTTGGCGGTACAAGCCTCAGCAGCGCCCTGGGTAGTGCTCTCGGCAGCGCGGGTCTCGGGGGATCTGGCGGCTTCGGTAGCGGTGGATTTTCTGGAAACGCTGTTACCATTCCAGCCAAGGTAATCGTCCTGAAGGTTCCCATCTCGGACGCCGGCGCTGGCGCAGGCGCAGGTGCGGGCGATTTCTCTTCGGCTCAAGGTGGCTATGGATCCGGAGGACCGAGCGCCGGAGGCTATGGCGCTGCCGCGGGACCCGCCGCGGGCGGCTACTCTTCTCTGGGACAAGCCGGATATAGCGTAGGCGGTCCATCGGGTGGAGGCTACGGTACCTCGGGAGGACTTTCTTCAGGTGGCTATGGATCATCCGCTGGAAGCTACGCTGGCGCTGGACCAACCTCTGGCGCAGGCTTCGCTGGAGGACATCACGGAGGTTACGGGAGCGGTGGCGCGAGTGGTGGCGCTCTTTCCGGAGGGAAGGGTGGTTTTGGTGGTGGACTCGGTGGCTACGGCGGCAGCAAAAGCGGCTTCGGCGGTGGGGGCTATGGATCCGGTAAGGGTGGCCACGGCGGTAAAGGGGGCTTCGGAGGAGGTCATCACGGTGGCTTTGGCGGCAGCAAAGGTGGCTACTCCAGCGGCGGCCTGGGAGGCGGACTTGGTGGCGGACTTGATGGTGGGCTCGGAGGTGGACTCGGTGGTGGGCTAGCGGGCTCCGGTGGCGGCCTGTCCGCCGGGCATCATGGCGGCTACTCTGGAGGCGGAAGCGGTGGTGGCAAGGGTGGTTTCGGAGGCGGACACCACGGAGGCTACGGTGGCGGTGGCTACGGAAGCGGCAAGGGAAGCGGACATGGCGGTGGACACGGAGGTCAAGGTGCTGGTGGTTATGGAGGTGGCGGATATGGTGGTGGCAGTTACCGTGGCGGCGCATCCAAGGGCGGCTACGGCGGCGGCAGCTACGGTGCTGGCGGCTCGAAAGGTGGCTACTGGTGATCCCGCTTGGAATTTCTGTTACCAGTGCCGTTTCTAATCGTGTAATTTCACCGAGAACGGACGGTTGCATTATTCCTTTTATTGCTGCTGCTTCTGCTACTGAACAAACGAAGAACTGTTCCCCGCTGGTGCGTGACTTATCGAATGTCAACTGGGGAAACATCCACACATGTCCATGGAGCTACGGAGCCATCCTTGCATGAGCGGCCCGCAATCGGACAATGCGAGAGACGATGGACCAGGCAGTGTTGGCCATGCTGCCCATTTCAAAGTGAACTGATGATCTCCACTACTTGTAGAGACACCACGAAACACAAATCCACAAATACTGCGCACGAATGAGTGATTGTGTAATTTAACTGCGAAGAATAAAAGCTCTCACATGTCGTTTTCTATGTTTTATTGCCACGAAATTTTTTGCGGTTGCTGACCTTTGCATGTGTCTATAATTAAATTTTAAATATCCGCCCCGGAGTTGAGGTACAATAAGCATTCCAAAAGGGCCTTGTGCACAATGCTAGTATGTATAGCTCTCTAGATCGACTCAAATTTGCAGGTTTGAGAACTTTTGATTAGCAGTAACTCAAGAAACTCGCAGCCAGCATTCCCTAGAAGAGTACTCCACTATGCTCGTTTTCATCTCAAGAACTGTAGTAGAAAAAGAGTACGGCTCCTCGCGGAGTATTACTAATTATCCCATTTGCGTGGATAATTCGAATATATGTAGCTGAATTTTAGATTAGATATACGTTATCTTATCAAGACGTGCCCGCTTGCAACACCCGAAAAAAATTGCTTGTTCTTCCGACAACAAAATCTTGTAAGATATACTTCGCGCGGCGTCTGAACAATGCGCAAAACGTGCTTTTTTCTTGAGGTGAAAGTGAGTATAGATATCACCTTCATGGAATATATATACACCCCTTTAGGTGTCCCGTGTGTGAAGAGTTCAGCATCTTGGTATATTGTCAAGAATAACTTTATGACTATCCGCCTTTGTGGCATCCAGTAAAATAGGTGATGAAATCCCAAGCAAGCTTTTGTTCGACCTCTGGAACGCAAAGTTTTAAATTTCAGCCCCCCTCCCTCCCCCCCCCCCCCCCCACCGCCCCCCCCCCCCCCCCCCCCCGCACGCCAAGGATCGAAGTGCCTGTTGGTGACTCCTTAGTCTGTGTCAGACATGAATTGTTTGTTTCTATGGAAAACTTACTGCGCTCTGCGGGATGGAAGTTTGGTTATTGAAGGAAAAACAAAATCGGACCAAAAGAAACAGGTTTTATACACTTGCCTGCAGTATCTTCTCTTTGTCCAACTCCCCAGCCTCTCAAATTGACTAAACAAAACTTGTTAGCGAGTAGGAAACACTAAATCGTAAATACCAATTACCGTATTTATTAAAAAATGAGTCGAACTGCGGCATCTTATATACTTGTTTCATTAAGGTCTACTCACTACCTTAATCATCAACATTGGCCAACAATTTTTTTAAAAAAACAAAGCCCTCCCGTTATTTTGCTTTTAAACAGACTGTGACTAAGCATTAAAATAAGGAAGCCCTGTAAGTAAAAAGACAGAGAGCATTGAGCTGAAGAAGTAATGTTGTAATTCATCTGTAGGATACGACCAACTGTCCTGCGTATATTTAAATATATAATCGTGCCTGAAGTTTTTGAATTGCGCGAGAATGCCGAGCAAACTATGCTGTCAGTTTTTTTTTTCATGTTTTTTTGGGTTTGATGAACGATGTGTTCCACATGCTGTACTCGTTGCCTTTCTTGATAGATGAAAGGATTTTCGTAGATCGTGCATTGGTGTCAAAAAGAGTGTGACATGAAATGCAGTTCTCTTGCCAGACACTCCCCGACTGACATATTGAAATTTAGGTAGAGCTCATTCTTGTAGCCTGACTTTGCAAAAAAAAGCGTCTTTTCTCTTTAAACTTTGAAACTTAAAATTAAAAACCTTTGAGCAGATCGAAATACGTACAGCGTCCGATCGATAAAATGAAACCCTCTGTTTGGGCCGTCATAAATAAACGATGCATCGTAGAACGGTAATTCTCCATGTGAATGTAACACTAGCGGTTGCAATAGAATGCTAATGTTTGATAAACAGGGCGCTACCTAATTAAAGAGGTAAAGCAAAAAACAAATAACATGATGGTCACTTGTGACATTTTCTTAGCGAACACAACTAGTCAAAAGGAAATACGGTCTTGTTTTTGTCTCTTTCTTGCTGGCAAGGTAATTTTACTTAAATAAATTCTACAGCTGCCAGGCGCCGACCATGCATTATGTTGGTTTGACAAATATTAGTCATAGGTGGACTTCGGCTCAAAACACTTTTTTTTAATCTCTTGGGTCAGCTAAAGTTATTATTTCAAAACTCTAGCATAATATCACCACCGCTAGGTTCACGTTCACATGGAGCTTCAGATTTCTACTTGACTCCACTGTCCACGAAACTTGCAGAACCGTTCACGGGGAAAAATTAATTATTATCGAACCAAGAAAAGTATAGCTTCCTGTCCGTTATCTCAAGGATCATATTTCTACCTATTATATAAAATATAATATATTTATTAAGAATTTATTGTTGACGCTGCATTTTTTGTGTGGGCTTGTTTGGCAAACCTAAAGTTCATGTCAGAACTGGCCAGGCCGTGTCTTGCAAGTCCTTTGTTGTTCTTGATTTTTTTTTTAGATATCTTTTGTGATTTGGTTACTTTGCACAACAAACCGAACGAACGAAGTTTAACACCAAAATATTAGCATTTCATAAAATCGTCCAAGGAAGCAACGGACCTAAAATGAGACAAACACATTTTGTGACTAGAAAACTAGTCCGCCTTGAATCTGTACGCACCAGAAAATAAAATGTACTAATTATAGAGGTCGCCGAGATCCTTGTAAAACTTGACTATGTTCGCTCCCTCTCTGCGTGCAACGCGAGCAGACAAGAGCCCAAGTGTGCAACGTGAGAAAGAATGGCAAGGTGAGTCCGTCAGGTGCATCGGTTTACTGAATTTGTTTGTACTACGGAACACTTTCGGCCGGGGATGTTGCAAAAACTGAGCCTATTCAGGTCCTCACTTGACTGAAGCATCAACAAAAAAATCAAGATGGTTAAGTGTGGGTCTCATTTAATTTCGTAAGCTGACAAAATCTTCAAAGGAACACCGTACTTTTTTTTTAACAAACTCCAATCTCCGTAGAATCAATATTAACTATATTTCAGCATAATAACCTATGGCGCGGCCAGCGAGAGTACACAAAAGATGCGGAAACGCAAGGATAATACAAATTTCAACCGGCGCTGCATCGTACTTATATTTTACACATAAAAAAGAAAATAACAATAAAGAGCACAAAACCGACTGCCGGGCTTCATTTTAGAAATCTCTGTGGCTTTGACAGGCCCCATGCAATGTATTGTAAAATATGAAATAAAAAAATCATTCTTCGCCTACACTCGAAGAAATGCCTGCGCGTCTACTTACCCGCAAAACACTCAAAGAGCCAATCTCTGCGACCTACGAAATCAGCTTAGCGAATGATGAGGCGGAATATCCGTTTGGACCTAAAAATGAAGTCTGCGCTGTGGCATTACGGAATGCAAAGCGTCATGCTTGCATTGCGTAATGACATAGCGCTGACTTAATTTTGAGGTCTAAACATATGTTCCGCTTCATCATTCGCTGAGCTAATTTCGTAGATTGTAGAGATTCGCTGTTCGGGTGTTTTGCGGGTAAGTAGACGCGCAGGCGTTTTTTTAGAAGGTACACCCAAGCGCGGAACACACCCGAACACGGATACCTGTTTTTTTAACCATGGGTTTATTTCCCTTCGCCATGGTGTTGACTCTTGGGCCACATCAGCCTGGCCAACTTTGATCTATAGCTTTGTAATCTATACTCTCTTAAAAATGTGAACCGGCCTTGAGGACGTTGATGACCCACATCGGTTATAAGATGTGGTCATCTTATACTATATGTATATTCAATAAATAAAAATTTTGTCTTGAGAGACAACCGAAACCGAAGTTTATTTGTGAAACTGCATAAATATTTGAATATCAATAAAAGTCGGTGTTTGAAAGTCAGTTCATACAATGGTGATCCGATTCATAATTTTTTTTAAATATATATTGATACAAAACTATACATGAAAGCCATGTTCTTGGAAGAAACATTCAGCTATATTTGGACGCTGTAGCTAATTTTTTCTCGGAAATCTAAGATTGAGAAGCTCGGGGCGTTGATATTAACAAAATTTCAGTGTGACAATTTGCATAGCCGTAAATTGCACACCGAAGCATGCACTTAGGAATAATTTGTGCCATTGATTTTACTAAAGGTTTACAGCATCTATACAGGAGATTGAAATTTGTAAAGGAAGATTTCTGTGCATAAAAAGAAGCTACAAAGTACAAGTATTAAACACGTTTTATAGACACATTCATAAATTACTAATTAACAAACTTCTTTACGTAAAACAACGCAAAATGGATCAAAGTGGTCATCTTTAAATGCGTTTTCTGCATATAAAAAATATATGCTTTGCCGTTAGTGTATGTGTGATATTAATGGAGAAACGCAGCTCATTTCTCTATATGTGACAAAATTGCGCGTCAATATTTCTAAAAATCCCCATCTTTCGTTTCTTTTAGAAACGGTTTGTAGTGGCTTCAACTATCATGTTATAGGAAAATGTTGAGTAGCATATGACTTCCAAAAAAGAAAAGCGACATGGATGGATGGAAATAACTTTATTTATTTTCAGAGGTGGAGGCGGTTATGCCCGCACTCCTTCGAGAGTCAGCCACGCCTGGTGGCCGGGAACCCATGGGCCTCGGTGACCTCGGCAGCCTGACGGACCATCTGTAATTGGGTGGTCGGGTCTGAGCTGCGTAGCGCAGCGTCCCACCGCTCCTCTGAGGGGAGGGAGAGAGATTGAAAGAAGGGCACTCGCATAATATATGGGAGAGAGTAGCTCTGGCGTGCAGAAAATCCAGGTGGGATTGTAGAGAGATGGGTAGATTTGGGAGAGGACAAGAGGGCTGGGGAAAGAGTGTGTCTGCAGCTGGCGCCACATAACACTCTCTTCCCGGGAGAGAGCTTGGGCAACGTGCACGTAGAGGAGAAGGCCAGCACACGCTTTCAGTGACGTCACGGCAGCAGACTGACGAGCGCCGCGCTGTAGAGCTGAGCTGAAGGCTTCGCGCGTAGCTTTTAAGTCGTACAAAACGCGGGTTTTCGCACTATTTATTTTTTATGAGCTAACATGAGAGCTGTGAACGCCGAGTGATTTAAAGAACCAATTTTAGAACGCAGGAAAATTATTATAACCTACAATTATTGTAGTGAAATGAAAGAAAGTGATATCTTG